TAAATATATTTTGGATATTATTAAGAAAATTTAATGTACTTTTTGAAGATCTCACTTCCAATTTCTGAAGTAGAAAACAAATTAATATTCTTCTTTAAGGATAGATTTTGTGTATTATTTTGTAATGAATTCCAAGTAAATTCTTTAACCACTTTGAGATCTTGATTCAGAAAAATCACAAACTGATGGCTGCAAGGCAGCTTCAAAAAAACACACTAATTCAAAATTATGACTCACAATATGTTCCCTCTATCCTCACTCATTTTAGAAAAGTGACAAATTGATGACAGGTGTCATTTTGTACTTCTTGAAAGAAAGATCAGATGGGAATCCAGATTGCAATTACACTGGAGGTCAAGTAAGAAAAGAGTCTAGGGTTCAAAAGACCCTAAAGAGATATTTGTCCAAAAGTGTTTCCAGTAAATGCTTGCTTTTAATTCCACTTTTTAATGATACGTAGAATGACATCTGTTTGCTTTCTACAAATCACCACAGAGCACAAGGGCTTTCCTACCTTCAATTGTAAAAACAATTCACTTTTTAACTACAGAATAACACCTTTTATTGCAACCACAAAATCAGAGTCGATTAAATTGTCCGAGAAACATGCATTTCCTAGCACATTATGCATATGTGACCATTACACCTTTCAATGGAAATCCTGTAGCTGGGGATAAAAGGAAGTTTGTGATAACAGAATTTAAAAATAAATCAACACCCTAATGGCACTAGAAAAGGAAGCGCTCCTGGTAGCAGTCAGCATGGAGGCTGTACTTTCAGCATTACCAAGCTTTTCCCTGTCTATTTGCACCAAGGATGAAATCACTCCCTAGCAGCGTCCCTGTCCTTTGTGCCGCAGACGCTGTTCCTTGGCAACCAGTGCAGGCAACTGAGTTGCCACGGAAACAGGAACAACTAATTTATTAAAAAAGAAAAAGACTCTGCAACAAAGCAGCTGTAAAGGCAACACTAAATAGGGTGTATTCTGTATTATGTCCTCAAAATTTCTCACCATAAAAAAAAAAAGAAAAAAAACAGACACTGAATTATAAAATTGGGTTACAGAAAACTGTTTTATTGCATTGGCAGGGAGCTGCCCTTTTTTTTTTTTTTTTTTCTTCAAGTTGGCAAATATAGCTGAAGATTTAAACTGCAGTTGAAGAGGAGCATTACCCATTTCAGACTGGAATTTCTCTTTTGAGGGGAGAGGGGAACCGAAGAAAAAGAGCATGGTGTAACCGTTTAGGGATGTGCCCAGGACGTTTGCAAGCTGGATAAAACAAACGTTCACATATTGAAGAGACAAGATGAGCACCATAGCTAGCTCATTTGACTTAAGGAATGTTTATCCAAACTTTATTTACTGGTAAACCAGCATTTACTAGGAGAAAAGTATTTTATCTTCTTTATCAATTAAACTTCAGAGAGAAATGCCAGAAACAGTCATCTACTGAATGCATTTTGACTGTGTGTGTGTGTGTGTGTGTGTGTGTGTGTGTGTACACATACACATGCTGAGAGCATCCAAGGAATACACTTTTAACAATTAATGTGGGGTAGGAGGCAAAATCACATGCTGCATTTGCCAGGAAAAAAATAAATAAATAAATGAATACAAGTGTTCTCTTCAAAGAGAAAACCAGCATGCTCAAGCTCCCTAGCCAGGTTACAGAACCACTCAGTATGAGATACTCAAGAGAAAGCAAGATTTAAAAAAAAAAAAAAAAAAAAAAAAAAAGGCAGAGCACATCTGTTTGGCGAGACAGAACTCCTGAGAGCAGGTTTCCTCCCGATGGGCACAGCCCCCTCCTCCCATGACACCTCGGCTGCATCCATCTCCATGTGAGGAAGAACTTCCTTCCTGCGAGGGTGTCAGAGCCCTGGAACAGGCTGCCCAGAGAGGTTGTGGAGTCTCCTTCCCTGGAGATCTTCCAAACCTGCCTGGATGCCACCCTGTGCCACGTGCTCTAGGTGTCCCTGCTGGAGCAGGGGGTTGGACTGGATGATCTCTAGGGGTCCCTTCCCACCCCAACCATCCTGTGATTCTGTGGGATTCTGTGATCTCTCTCACTTTGCTACAACACTTCCACAGAGCAAGAGTGAGCAGAGCTGGGCTTAGCCAGGAACCATTTTTATTGACTGGCTGGCCAGGACTTCTGTGCTGTATGGTCAGACGGCCAAACATAACATAAATGAATAGAAATGAATTCTCCCTGTGCCACCTTTGTAAGGGCACATGGCAGCACTGGAAGCATCAGCCTGAGGGTCCTTTACCCTACGATAAAACTCCATGAAGTTACGGAAACTGCAACTCATCTTTGTAATTTGACTTAAGCAGGCTAACAGTTTCTAAATGAATTAGGAAAGGACTGAAAAATAGCTCCCATATTTCATTTTCTTGAGAGACTAGATTGAAACTGAAGACATCGGTTAGTTCAAAAGAACGTGGAAGGGAATTCCTGGCCTCCTTTTGAAGCTCTCTGCAAATCAAAGAAATTAATCCCACAAATGTACTCTACCTCTCAATATATTAGGAGCACCAGTATTTTCACTGTAAATTGAGATTCTTATCAAGATTTTCAAGTGCGTAAGACACTGTGGAGCTGAAATGCTGCACATCAGTAAATTTGGGGGGATTAAAAAAAGATAAATGTGCATCCCAAATAAACAGTCTCCCTACCTCTGCTAGTTTAATGCCTTACCTGCTATATGAACAATCAAAGACACTGAACAGCACAGGATCTGCTGTTGCAGACTGAAATTCATTTTATAGAAATGTAGGAAATTGTCACCCAGCTATCTCAGAAGTCTTTTTATACTTGCAGTACTTGGCTATTCAGATGCCTTGGAAAAATTTGAGATTTTGTCACCTTAGCACACAGCCAAAAAAAAAAAAAAACATTGGTATAACTCCTTTTTGTCTCCTTAAAGACTGTGTGCCACAATGCAAGATGTTTTTTATTAACATAAGGCTGTTGGGTCATTTCACTGAAATACGCAGTTGTGCATTTTCCAATTTTCAAAGGATGTAGGCTCCAGGCACTTCTAGCACTCTTCATGGTCAGACCACAAGTCTTCTTGAACTACCAACGATCTCAGAAAGCATAAGGCAGTGAATAAAATTCTACCAACATATCTGACAGAATTATACTTAATGGCACGTTCAAAATTGAGCCATAAATCCTGAACTCATGCAAGTAATGAAGAATGCTGAGCCCATAGGCATCCAGGCCAAGAGAGAAGATTACAACTCCAATTTGTTATCAAACCATTACCTTACTGTAACAGGGTTCCTGGAATGATTCAAATTAAAACAGGAATTCACTTTACTGCTTATTTGAAGAGACTCTTCATTCCTAATCCTGAAACATCGATTGGATTAAAGATCCTCTGTCATTTTGAGACATAAGCAATATCAAGCATCCCAGGAATACCTACTTCCACATTTTTATATTGAAGCAATATATTTCAAAGATCAAAAAGTCCAGCAGCATTAAAATACTCTCTCTGTTGGTGACATTTTTTTCCACAGCCTGAAGAGATTTTAACAAATAACTTGAAGCAAATAGCAGATTGTTTGCATATATATGTAGTGGAGCAAGGTCAGGGAAGAATAGCCCTGAACCTTCCAGTGACATTTTCCTCTATAAAGGAAAGACAGCTGTATATGCTGCCGCATATACGAAAACTATGACAGGTGGCTCCATAAGGAAATAACTAAGGGCTGGTCCAGAAAGGTTCTGCTCAGTACTCATTCCTAAAAGAATCAAACCTCACAAAAATGAGGAAAGTCTGAACAACATGAATAAGCAAGGAGGGGAAACAAGCTATCTGGCAGAGCAGAATGACAAGTTCATGCTCACATTATATTTACTGGAGGGAAGGGAGCGCAAAACTCCCAAACCAACCTCTCCTTCATCCTTCCCCCCAGTTCCCTTACTATGAGACATTAGTTCAACCAGGAAGAGCAGAATATTCCCAGTTCTTTTGCAGTGTTAAGCATGCTCAAAAGCTGGTGGTCTTGATTTCTCCATATGACAATTCAGAGGCAGGTGAATTAAATAAACGGTTTGAAGAAAGTCTTCAGAGGGTTGGAAATTTATGAATGAGAGCACTACCAAAAATAGATTAATTTAGTTTGTTATTCTATCATAGACCTGTCACAACACTTGAATCCTGTTAGCATTAGTCGGTTGACTCAGAATGCTCTTATTCATAGCACTTAATCTTTTCGGAGAAGAAAAATTTAAGAAAACGGAGCCTAGATCAGGATTTAAAAAAAATAAATAGAAAAAAAAAATCCCACTTATGGCTTTGGTCACAAAACAAAATTAATTTTATCAAACTATTAAGTCCTTTGATAAAAATCTCTATTTTAAAAGTCACTAGTTTCAGCTAAGGCTTTGCCAAGTTAACACTTGAAATATGCCTACAGACAAAGCTTACTGAGGCTTGCTGGAGTCAAGATTTACAACTTCAAACTCAAACTGCTAACAATTTCACAACTTGCATGAACATGACAGCCAGATTCTGAGGGAGTTTCTTACCTTACAGCCAAACTCACCCAGACCTTTACCACATAAGATACACCCTCAATATCTGCAAGGATTTTGATCACGCACTCCAAAGTGACCTAGATACTTGTGCACGTGCTCTGCAGAGTCAGCTTTTTGACAAATCCCACCCAGAGCATACGTACTGGACTTGTAAGAGATACTGAGATATACCACAACTTGTGTGGATACCAAAAGGCTCTATATGTTTTACACTGGAAATATTCCCTCCATTTGGAAATGGACGGGTATCTACTGTTTCAAGGTGTCTGATCTTGTTCTTCTTTGGGATGCATTACTTGGAACTTGCCATGAGACACCCAACTGTCCCTCTGCAGTGCCCACCAGTATCCCCTCTACTCCCATGTAGATCAGGCATTCCTCCTGACCCGCAGGTAACACAGGCTCCTACAAGCAGACTCCAGGGAAAGATTTTTTTGGTGCTGCTCAGTAGCTCTGCACCGCTTCCCGCACCCCACCGTTCCACTCCACTAGTGCCATCCATGACCAGTTTATGTTGTCCCCTCCACCTCCTTCCACACGCTCCTTCACAGAGCTCTGGTTATCCACCCTCACGCCGATCTTTATGTCCACTGTTAAACAATCAACTTACCCTTCTCTAAGTCTCTGTTTCACAGTGATTGACACCAGCTTAATTAAGTACTAATTAAAAAGGGAAACATGCACCTTGCTAAAGACAAAATGCCTCAGCCTGATTTTGTGTAAGCCTCCCCCCTCCCACTCAACTGCCTTCTGGTACTTTCTGCCTAACCTTGACTAGGACTGGGGGCAGAAGTAATGTCTGTCTTTTTAATGCAGCAGAAAGCCTTTCTGTACCTCAGGAAACTGTTTCAGAGCTCCAGTTTTCAGTTTTACCAGATGAAAATGACTTGACACTTTTTCTAAATTGCTCAGAGTTTTTTTTTTTTTTTTTTTTTAGTTTGTTTGTTTTTTATACCAATTTCAAGGAGACATTTTCAAGGAGTAATCTCAAAAAACACAGATAAAAGTTTAGCACAGCTGGTACGGGGTTTCAGTAAGCCTCACTGCCAACGAGCAGAAACCGCCTGCTGTATGAGGAATGATGATAATCTCTCAGACTGATGACTCACTGGTTTGGGACACAAAACCCAACAGAACAGTGAAGTTCTCTGGGAGATGTTGTGAAGTTGCCTCTCGGGGATGCTAAGTGTTGACAAGCTGCCAACACACACACACACCACCACCACGTTAACAAAAACACCAAATCTGATGACTATGCAAAGTTACACTGTACTGCTTCCTGCGTGGTACAGCATGACTTTCAGTCGTTCCTCTTCTTCCTCTGTAAGATTTTTGAGAGCAGTTCCTAGTGTATGCTGGGAGAGACGACCAGCAATCACCTGGATTCCACACAGGAGAAATCAGAGCTTAGTTCTCTTTTCTAGGACAGTCTTCATCCACCTGCAGATGGATGGCTTCATTTTGACAGGGATGCTGCATTTAAAGGCTAGTCTTCTTACAGGGTCATTGAAGACTTCCCTAAAAAAGTGTCCTCATTTCCTCCCTTCACCTCATTTTCTCTCTCCTCCCAAAAAACAACCACCAAGGTAAAAAAAATGCAATGTTCTAGACACAAGAACCCTATAGTTAGTTACCTCTGCTTAAAGAAGCTTTAAATAAAGCAGCAATATAATTAGGGTTGAAAGCATTTTTCATGCAGCTGTTTTTCCTGCCTGAGTATACCTGAGACATTATTTTCTTATAATTACTTCAATACATCTTTAGCTACTTACAGTTTAATATTTGCTCCTAACTTTAATATTTAGTGATTTTAAAATGAATGTTCAGCTTCAGCACAATATTTCTTACTCAAAACTTAATGAAATTGTCCGATTAAAAATTGAACTGAATAGTTTTCTGTCAAAAACTTAAGTTTTTGTGAGAATGTATTGATTTTGACCAATATTTTTTCTTGAAGTGTTATATATTTAACTATTGGAGTACTTAAATAACACTAAAAAAGTTTTTTTTATTTTTTCCTTTAATTCTTGTGTTATAAAAATGGAGTCCCAGGGTGACTTTACTAAACAAGTCGCTTGGTATGCCCTTGCCTAAAGGTATTGAATATAAGTTTATCTCTTGCCAAATATAAGCAAAAAAGGGCAAAGTTAAAGAATCAATGTTCCTGGTTTTCAGACAGCTAGAATAGCCTTAGTCTTCCTGTTTCATGCATTTAAATGCTGTGTCTCTTCTCAACCCTTGCTCACTATGCTGAGAACATTCACTTCTAAGATTATTCTCATTGCCTTTACTCATTTATAAGATGCACAATTTTTGTTTGCCTATGCCAGATGCAAAAAGCAGATGTTACCAACTGCTTTCATAAAAATCCTAATCACTTGCACAACCACTAGAAACTTCTTCCTTAGATCCCATTCTCCTGCATGTTTTTCATTATTTCCTAATGATAAAGTGTTCAATACTTCTTTTGTTAAAAGGCTTTAAATATCATGCTTACTGCACTCTCATCTGGGTTCTGTTTCTCCACTTCTGATGAACCATTTGATTATTTCTTCCAACATTAACTGCTTGATATTTGTCTTATTAGATTTCATACTGATTGCAGTCCCTGTTCCCAATTCATCACAATCAAACTCTATTTAAACAGAGTCTCCAGAGTATTTGCAGTGTTCATCGAACTGCCCCAGAGCAGATGTGTTCTGGTTTAGAAACTAAAATGTCTACATAACCGTATTTTCCCCTGTAAGCTCTATTCTTCTTCAGGAAGCCACTGAACATTGAGTACACCAGATCACAGAAGCTATTTTTAAGTAGCAAGAGTAAAAGAAAACAATATACATTAGCATGTCAGATGGCAACAAGAACTACTCAGACACCAGGGAACAGAGAGCGCCTTTGTGTATTCCAGGAGTATTCACCCCAAACCCAACAGCTTATATGGAAACTTTACTATGACCGTCTTACTTCTATAGTGGCACCAACTTATGCTCACTTAGCTGGGAGGGGGGGAGGGGGGGGGCATCAAATACAGTCTGAGATGTCTGATCAGAATCAGACATGTCAGATGTCAACTGCTATGTCAACGATGGACCTTTTCACGAGCTTCTCTATTTTTAATATTTTTATTCCCTCAGAAATACTTTAAAAAAGACAGAATATATATATGAATACATGTGTTGTCAGCATACATGTGTTTATTCTCACACAAAATCTATTCCCACACAGAGTTTGTGATTATCGATGTCAGGGTTATTTACCATGCACATTGCTCTCTGCTTCCTTCTCAAAATTGTTTTCAAAGAGTATGCAAGTGTTCCACCTAGATATTCTATAGACCGCATTACCTTTAGCTCACCTTTATTACCTTTACCTTTATTACCTTATCTGGGCATAAGATGCAAACAAGATTCTTGTAAATGCAGAAACAGCAGAAGAAGGTTAAACACATCAGGCTGGTTATAAAAACATAGGATCTACAAACAGAACAGAAGAGCTGCATTACAAAATCCAAACCTGTGATCAAGAAACCATCTCACATACAGAACAAACTCCACAAAGTGACATTTGTGAGAATGTGCCAGATGTAAATCAACAGGAATTGCAACTAGAGCACATACACACATACAAAACCCACAGAAGATAACATTGATATACAAAAGAAGCGTGAAAATGAGTAATCAGAGAAAGTGGAGGAGACCTTTAGAAAGCCATGAGAAGCAGACAGACGATTAGGAGGCAGATAAGAAACTAAGAAAGGCAACATGAGACAGGAAGATATTTCAGGGGCAGCTGGAATAAAGAAAGTGTCAAAGGTTTGACTTTTTGAGGCATTCTGTACAGCAGCAGCTACAGTTTGCAATTCAAATAAATGCAAAACATGAAAATAACCTCACTGCAAGGGAAAGTAGGTAGAGGTATTTTCAACCACATTCTCTATTTAAAAAATCAGCATGTGCATCTGCAATAAATGTCTGTCTTCATTTTTAATCAAAGACATTCTACAAGATGCCCCCAATCTTCCCTGACTGTCTGGCAGCTTTGAGAAAGTCATCGCTTAAACCAAGCCAAAAAGATAATTAAAAACAGTTCAAACTGAGATTTCACCCTCTATTCGATGAGTAGATGTCTCTTACAGTTTTAAGCTACTAAAGCTCAGAGGAATTTTACATAAAAAAAAGTTTTTAAGATTCCACATTTAATAGAAAATCAAATCCACCAGAACAACTGATTCAGAAGGAGCAATCAGCTTTAACTACTTAACATGAGTGCTATTTTCAGTAACTTTCAGCTCTGGCTCCAAAGCCCTGTATTTCTTTCCCATTTCCACTAGAAGCATAATACAATCTTCTGTCATGACTTTTTAAAGTAAAAGTTACTTATCTCTGATAATTTCACACTCATCTGTGCTTATTTTATCTCTCTGCGAAGACAGATCTGATAGATCTATCTATCCTCCTGCATCCTCCAAGTCCTTAAAGACTTCTTCTATCTGCGACTTTAAGAGTCCTCAAGTCCTTCCTCAGCAGCCCAGGCTCATTCAGCCAAAACAACTTCTTGTAGAAGGTGCTCTGATCTGCTTTAACAGTTCATGGGAAAAAAAAAAGGTGTTTCTGGAAAACTAAAGTCAGTAGAATGCACACCTTGGAGGACTTGTCACATACTTATTAGCCACTGACATCCGGAAAACAGTCTCCAAGGAGTTGGCTTAATTTATTGGCTTAATTCAACCTAAGTCCTTTTTAGAGCTCTACAGTCTGCATGCTGTACAATGGAAATATTCTAACCTGATGGTAATTGTATTAGTTCTTTAATCTGATTGAGTCTAGGCATTCTACCCTCATGACCTGGCACACAATAGTGAGGACTTAAAATCAGAAGAGATTAAGTCAATACTTCCTACAAGATTGAACAAAGGGGTTTCAAGCTTAAAGGTGTGTGGGGGAGAACACGTGTCAAGCATCAGCACAGAACATTGCTGACTTATTAAGCACTTAATATTGTAGTCCCTAAACATCTTTTAATCAACCCCACTTCTACCAAAATTCACAGCAGAAGTCCTCAGGCACAGGGAGTAAGGAAACACAGTTGTTCCTCAAACTCACTCATAACAGAGCTTATTTAAAAAATAATCTTTCTAGAGTCAGAGACCTGGAATCATCTTGTTTAACTTGACAGATACTCAAGAAGTGAGTGTTGCAGTCCTCAATTACTGCAGGAATTGCATTACTCGACTACTGAAATAAAAGAAACATGAAAGTCAATTCCAGATCAAATAAACGGAACATCCCCAGAGCGTTTTTGTGCTTTTTTTCCAATGACCATAAGAGACAGTGCAGTGCATGCCTTCAGAAGTTGGAAAGTACTGAAAATAACTTTAGATGAATCATAGTTGACTACGTTTTGAGAAAATAAACTGACTTCATAAAAGTTTAACTACCAAAACAAGGCACTTAGTTGGGCATTCTGTCACTGCCATTCTTTCCACCATCAATAATTTTTAAACCATTTGGACAGTATCAATTACATTTGCTTGCACTTTAAAGATCTCTGTTCCTATAAACAGAAAAAAGAGACAGAGAAAAACAAAGGAATTAGATTTCACAGAAAAATCAAACTAGTCATAGAATATTTATGTAGCTTGTCCTCTTACACCACTCACCAAGCTCTCATTCGTGGAAGAATTTTCTTCTACACAACAGCTTTACAAAAAAGGTATTGAATGAAAATTAAGTAGAAAGAAGGAAATAATCAAAACACATTTGTACCAAGTCTCAGGTGGCTTTTCAAACTTGTATTTGATTAAAAAAAGTTCTCATTAAGTTTTAGTAATTTAACCTCCTCAAGGAGAGACTGCAAAGATTTTTCAAGTGTTTGTGCAAAAATGCTAGACCCAAGAAGCCATATATAGATTACCAATCAATTATGTAAATTGCAATAAGTTGCATGTAGTACTGTTTATTTTCTTTAAAGAGCTGTATATTGATTTCACTAGGAAAGACATATGTGCTACAGAATATCTTGAGGAACACATTTTTTTTTCCTTTGATGTTTCTTAAAATTCTGTTAAATGACAGAAAGGTACCCCTGGAAACCAAGATCCATTATCACTTTCTTACTTTCTTTGCTGCCTTACTACATCATACCACTATATCATACAATCATAGGAAATGGGGAAAAAAAAAGAACTTATTCATTCCAATTTAAAAGTTATTAATAATCACAGTTTCCGAGATTAAATATATATATATCATTTCAGTAAACACAACTGAAAATACACATTGTGTAGTCTCTGACTATTAACTCCTTCAGTCAAAGATGTGAAACAGGATCCTAACAGGACTGGGGAGAGGTACAGACAAGGCTTAGAAAGACAGCACAA